ACTTCGGTGACAATGATTCTTTCCACACATGAAATTTAGATTTCTAAGACAGAGTTAGAATTAACATTAGATATTATGTTTGTTATATAAACATATTGCAAAGTTTTAAAATGACATTATGCGCAACTCAGTTAAAAATTAAATTAACTTGAGGTGTTGCCATAAAGAACAGACAAATCTACGTGACCAACTGAAAATGTAAATCAATTTAAATGTATCGGTAACGTTCAACTTTTAAACAGAGTGGGCAGTCTTTTTATAATTTAAGTCCTTTTTATATTATATCATCTTATTCTTCATCTTATTCTTAAACATCTTATCATGAATAAAAATATATGCTTTAACCCTCAAAGGTCTTTACAATATGTCATTAAAACGATAATGTACGCATTCATATATAACTTAACTTTAAGGAAAAAATATTGCATAGATTTTCAGGAGAAAACATCAAAAACCGAAACGATCGATAAACAAAGATATTGCTTCTGTTTTTATTACCTCTTTAACTCTCCTTTTGCCTTATAATGTATTCCTCTAATTATAAAAGTAGAAAACTTACCGGAACTAATGATAAATGTCATGAATGTACACTTCTTGTTGTAACACTGCGAAAAATATACTGATATACGGGAATATACACTTCCGTATTTTTGACATATACGGGCGTGTACGGGATGTATTCGTCGAATATACGGACCAAGTATACGAGTCCGTATAGGGAACACCGGGTATACGGGAAGTCCGTATATGCATCAGGCATATACGGAATTCCGTATTTGCCCCATATACATGTACGTATATTTGTTCGTACTTTTGAAGTATACGGAGAATAAAATCCCGTATACGGACTATATTAAGGTTGTTATCCCTAGTATACTATGAATATACCAAGGATATACGGGAACGTATTTTTTACATATACAGAGGATATACGGACTCGTATTTTCTACGTATACAGAGGATATACGGAACCGTATATTCTACATATACAGAGGATATACGGACTCGTATTTTCCACATATACAGATGATATACGGAATCGTATTTTCTTTCTATACAGAGGATATACGGAATCGTATTTTCTACATATACAGGGGATATACGGAATCGTATTTTCAATATATACAGGGGATATACGGAATTGCATTTTTTAGTTGTCCACATGGAATACAGAACTGTATTTTCTTGATAAAAGAAGATACAGATAATATCAAAAGCATGCATTTCCATATAAGTGACACGTAATGCAGAAATGTACAATATAACATGTTTTATTACACATTTTGAATGGGAACTGTAAAGTCATATGCTTAAGAACTTTATCTTCACAACTGGAGTATTTCAAATAATAAAGTAAAAACCAAATCGAGTCACTCTTAAATATGTATTATTTCATAAACATATATTCAATATGAATACATATATCAAACAAAATAAACATGTCTTCGCTACAACAGTCATATATTGTTGCAAGCCTTATTCCAGAGGGACAAATTAATGTAGCGTTGCAACGGAACGGCGATATACCGGTATGATGCGCATGATCCGCACTGCGATATTGTCTTTAGAGATCGAGTTATACATGTACATGTTCCGATATTTTCAAGCCGTAACCTTTATGAATTGCATGTTGTTTTAAATCTAGAACAAACTATACCAACTTGAAGTTCGATTCTATTTATCTTAACAATGATTTTAATGAGCCACTTGTATTACACCCATAAAAATTTTTAAAGATATTCATATCATTTGTTCGTGTTAACATTCACATATTATTTTAGGAAAATGAGTCCATAGCACAAATTGATTATTACAGAAAGTTTTAATAATAATCATTAAAACTAAAAATCCGTATTCACAGAAATTCGTCATTCAAACACAGTTCTTAAAAGCACTTAAATATATCAATCATCTATAGGAATGTTACGTAGACCAGTGTGACGGTGTCTATTTCGTGACGTAGGAAATGTTATCTCCAGATATTACAATCTTCTTCGGCATATGTGTATCTGAAAAAGAGAGTTTAAAATCCTGTTTAAATAGTGTCATGAAATAGTTATCACAACTTTCCAAAAGACTATACACAAGCATTTTTAAGCGTATACATATATACATTTTTTTTCTAATGCAAATTTCAAAATTATTTTATATTATTAGGATAAAGATGTCATTTATAAGCAACCATTTACACAGGATTTAAATGAAATGATTAATCTATGACGGATGATAAGTTATATGTTTTTGTTATAAAACCTTTACGGATATATTTATTTCACACCTGTAATATAAATGATAATGGTTTCTTTGTTCTATGTAAAGAGTGTTTTGTTGATTAAAAATATATTGATACAATATAACATTGCATTGGGAAAGTGCTGACATAATCTTTTTGATCGTTTTACGATGTATATTAGCATCGTAAGTAGGAATAATTCGTTTGAAAAAAGGCTTAAGAGGTACAGATATTTCTTACTTAGATGTAGATCCGTGTTTGCACAGTGTTTACAGTTAAGTAAAAGGCGGAATACCCAGCTATACTTCTCATTTATATAAAAACGTTAATCTTAATAAATTTGGATTATTGTTTGTTTCAATTTCAATTGTTTCAAAAACTATCTCAGCAACGAATGAATACCTTCAATATACAATAGTGTAGATTAATATTTTTTTAGTGTTAAGACTGTTTAACTAGGTAAGTTGACAATAGAATCTCTTACAGTGTGTCATCTCTAAAAATAAAGTGATAATTCTCACGAAATATATATCAAAATATCCTCCCTTGCCTATAGCATTAATCTGATAGTATGAAATCAAATTCAGATAATAAAATATACGTATCATATGTGACAATTGCATAAAATAACATCGGAAATATTTTAGTTAATACATGCGAATGCGACCATTACATGCGCACGTGAAACATTTGCGTATCAACGCAATATGTTTCACGTGCGCACAAGTACTGTGCGTTTAGAATGATAATTAAGTGACGAGGTGGTCAAGTCCACTATCCAGGTGTAAAACAGCTATCATATTGTGTTTATCACTTCAAACAGGCTAGCTATATAAATTAAATTATCAACAAATTAACCAACTCTCAGCGTAATGCAGTAGGTAAGGTTGTGGTAAATATCAATGCAAGACAACTAGGCTCGGATTGCACCTTTTTCTCAAAAATATTTCTTTATAATTATCAATCAGGTAAGAAAGTTTTGTATCATTTATTGTAAAGATTAAAATGCTGTGATATTTTCTATTAACTTCTCATTTGTTTTAAATGTAGCTATATTTAGCCCTATTTAGCAAGTTGGTGCAAACTTATACGGAATGCATGATACTGTACACAGACTGTTTCAACTATAAATAAGTTTGCACGAAATACTATTACACTGCAAAAGTACTTTGACTACTACATACTACACACTATACAGGATAAAAATCACTATCATCCGTGCATGTATATCTTAATTATCAAATATCATAACAAAACTGCCTTTCTATCCCAATTCATTTTTCTAATGTAAAATTTAAAAAAAATATATGGAAAGAAAAACGCAAAAAAGTAAGACAACTTGTGAGGCTCGAACTTGTGATAAAATTTAATGTGTATGACATTCTAACTTTTCCATCAAGACATTTCAAATTCTGTTTGTCATGTACAAAAAAAATGTAACGTCACTCTCACATTATCAAAGCGGCGTACTTATCGCTTTACGCACGTAGTAACTAAAAAAATTACTATCATTAACATATATAAAAGTGATTTAACTGTAAAGAAATACATATTTTTTGATACAGTAATATGTTTAAGAAAAGAAAACTAATTTAATAAAATAAAGTCGCATGCACAGTGCATCTATATCAAACCATTGTGTGTGTTCGAGTTAATTCTTATATTTTATATATTTGATTTTTGCATATTAAAAGCAAGTATGGTTTAGCGTTTTCAAATGCGCGGCAAACTGCTTATATCATATATGCCTTAATTGACATCATTTTATTAAGTGTGACATCATTCCGCCTAAGAATTAATTCTAACAAGATATAAAAGAGAACCAATGTATTTATAATTAACCACATTTATTCTTGTCAAAATAAATGCGTGTAATTAAGGAAATTTGACTAAGAATAAAACAAACAAAAAATATTCACAAAACACAACAATGTATATACGTGAACTTACATCTATATAACTTGCTATCATACTTTGCTTCATCTACAATTGCTGTAAAGAGGGCACAGCTGCAGTTCTAGAAGATTTAACTGTCCTGAAAAATCATAATATAACTTTAGCATAAAATGATAAAAAGCACATTGAAAATATTTCATAAGTGATCACATGTGCGAAAGTGTTAATACTGTAGGAACGTGTTCACTTTTATGTGCATAATTATGTAGTTATGTATTTTGTGTGTCCGTGCGTGTGTTACAATATTGCTTTATGTGAAATTATATAAGTCAAAATATGGAATGTCGAAAAATGTGTGATGTACAAAGGCTCAATACAGTTTTTTTAAGTGTTTAAATTTATGTATAATGAAATATTAAATAACTATTTCCTCAAACAGGCGCGTGTTTGTTACTGACCCATGCGACATCACCTTATGCGTAATGTTTAACATAATAACAAAAAAATATTTATATTTTAATTTGTCCAATAAAAAATCCATTGTATATGTCGAAAACTCAGTTCATGTATATACAATTTAGAATCTGGGTAATCCTGAATAACGTGGATAAATAACCAAAAATATCGATGAAAACCAAGAGTTGTCTGTCCTGAATTGCGAGTAAACTCGATCTTGCTAATTACTATTAATGCTAAAACAAATCAATACAAACAAAACCGTTTTAAATCTTCTGGTTCGTTGCGATATTTTATATTCACGAGTTTTAAAATTCTTACACCGACAACAGGCTTCTGATCTAAGCTTCGTATCAATGTAAAAATAAATATATGAGCCGCGTCACGACAAAACTAACATAATGAGTTTGCGACCAGCATGGATCCAGACCAGCCTGCGCATCCGCGTAGTCTGATCAGGATCCGTGCTGTTCGCTTACAAACTCTATAACAAGTAGAGAAACCGATAGCGAACAGCGTGGATCCTGATCAGACTGCGCGGATGCGCAGGCTGGTCTGGATCCATGCTGGTCGCAAACCAATTATGTTGGTTTTGACGCGGCTCATATGTTTTGACATAAGGGTAAGTGAATTAACAGTTAACTGTTAAACTTAACACCTGTCGGCCATATTACATGCAATCATACACATTCTTTGTATTAATGTAAATAAAAAAAATTCTGACAATTATTTCATTTCATTTATTCATCTAAAAGTATAATTATTTAAATAAAAAAGAAATGTGTGTTTCCTATTTTTGTTTAAGATTTGTAATCATTTAATTATAGGATAATATAAATAAGAAATAAATAACAACATGTGTACAGAAACTTAAAAAAAGTTAATAAAATTGTAAAGAGCGGACCCAGCAGGCACATCAACGTTGGTCACATAGTTATATATATTGACGAATCGTCTTGGGACGTAAAGTAAGTGGGCCGAACTACTTTATAAGTTTCAATTTTAAAATTGATTAAATTCTAAATAGGATATAGTACAGACAAATGTTTAATAATATGAAAAATAAATTAAAGAAAGACAAGATTTGTAAAATCATAAATTGCCAAGGACATCAATAACTTCATGCTTACAAGGCCTACCGAACCCAAATCATTCAATTAGGTCGCGAAAACGTGTCAAATCAACTCAATCATGTGTTTATATCTCTCGTATTTATTTCATAAAGTAAATTAAAGTAGAATTTAAAGAATAAATAATAATATTTTAGAAAATAATCAGTAAACTAAAGTAAAACATAACGGTAATACCTTCGAAATCCAAATAAATTGCCAATCGTGTTGTTTTCAAATTTTCCAAACAGCGCCACCATTTGCACGAACGATAATCATAGACACAAACAAAATCATAGACCGCAACAATTACTTCCCCTGACCAGCGTTATTTTATAAACGGGGTTTTGACTAATACCAATTTATTAATTAATATTATTCATAAAGAACTAAAAAATAAAACAAACAACAAAACATATTAACTAAATTAAATATTCAAAGCGTTAATAGAAAGTGAAAAATTATTTCCAACTTTATTTGGTTAAGCGCTATTTTTGAATATACGAAAAAAGATTGTAACGCAAATTTTCTTTAAAAAAATCACTTACAGATTAATTCAATAAAGCGCGGACTTTAATTGTAATACGTGAATAAAGGAATAATATCACAACATTAGTGGTATAAAAGTTAATATAATGATTAAACTAAATGTAAAACTTCGACCATAAACAACGTTGAATCAACGTTGTATATACATTGGCAATATATCCGTATGGTCGTACATAGTTGAATATTGGTTAAACAACGTCACGACCATATTTCAACGTTGTTTCAACGTTGAAACAACGTCGAGTGCCTGCTGGGGAATCTTTAAATTGACTTATGTTTGCATCAAATAATGGGGATTTGTATAAAAATAAAAACTGCGAATATAAAACAAGTATTCTGCTCGTTAAATTATCAAGACTAAGAAATTCTTTTATCTAAAAATTTATAAAAATATGTTAATCTGTTAAATCTGATAATTTTTGTTATTATATTGAATAGATAAAACATAACCTATTTTTCGGCTATCAATTTCATAAATTACTATTAAAATAAATAGAATTTGAGTGTCTTTTTTCGATATGATCTTTCTTGCACATTGATTCGCACCCCTGCTGTTAAGTGATAATTGAGATCGCTTAAGATTATAAAGTCCAATCAGTTGACCAATTAAGCATACATAGGTCGTGTCACACACACTGATTAATCCCTTTGTACTACCACTTTTGCAACATGGACTCTGTGGAATAAATGATCTTTTCCTTTCTTATCTGGCCCTGTGTTAGTAACACAGTACATGTTGATTTTACAAGGAAAACTATGTTCTGTTCTCATTTGAAGTAAGAGGCCATTTGTGTAAAATTTATAGGTGAAACCTAATACGACTTCTTGAAATATAATTTCTTTCTTTTATTTTCATTTTAACATTTGAGGCCATATTGCTCTAAAAATTGTATAGAAAGGAAAGATAATGAGATTGAAGATTGACAACAAACATTTTTTTAGCTAAAATTACGAAATGTTTGCCATGTAAACATTTTATAAGTGTAAAATGTTTTCGTTATTACCGTTTAGTTTCTATTGAAAACAACCTCAGTTTTTCATTGTCAACTGTTCAATGCTTATCATATGGCAACAGTGAATTAACTTGTAACACAATTTTCATGGAGATACCATGCATTTCTTCTTATTATTTATCTTTCAAATAACAATAACATTTCAATTGAAAAACTTACAACTTGTTGGGTTGCATAAGGCTGTCCTAGTTGACCACAAGGAGGTTGGCCATAGGGTGGTTGTCCTGGTTGACCATAGGGTGGTTGTCCTGGTTGACAATATAGCGGCTGTCCTGGTTGTCGATAGACTGGTTGTCCATAGGGTGGTTGTCCTGGTTGACCATAGGGTGGTTGTCCTGGTTGACCATAGGGTGGTTGTCCTGGTTGTCAATAGGGTGGTTGCCCTTGTTCATAAGGTGTTTTCTCTGATTGTTGGACCGGCTGGTATCCACCTGGATGCCCTCCCTTTGCGTGCTCATGAGATGGTGGTCCCTGGTTCAACTCTTAAAAAAGAATGCTAAAATTAGTGTAAATAAAAAATTCTGACAATTATTTTCATTTTATTTATTCATCTAAATGTATTATGATTTAAATAAAAAAGAAATGTTTGTTTCCTATTTTTGTTTAAGATTTGTATTCATTTAAGAATAGGTTAATATAAATAAGAAATATATAACAACATGTGTACAGAAACTTAAAAAAAGTGAATAAAATTGAAAAGAGCGGAGTCTTTAAATTGACATATGTTTGCATCAAATAATGGGGATTTGTATAAAAATAAAAACTGCGAATATAAAACAAGTATTCTGCTCGTTAAATTATCAAGACTGAGAAACAATTTTATCTGAAAATTTAAAAACCTATTTTTTAGAAGTACTAAGCAATTTTCCTTTAAAATATGTTAATCTGTTAAATCTGATAATTTTTGTTATTATATTGAATAGATAAAACATAACCTATTTTTCGGCTATCAATTTCATAAATTACTATTAAAATAAATAGAATTTGAGTGTCTCTTTTCGATATGATCTTTCTTGCACATTGATTCGCACCCCTGCTGTTAAGTGATAATTGAGATCGCTTAAGATTATAAAGTCCAATCAGTTGACCAATTAAGCATACATAGGTCGTGTCACACACACTGATTAATCCCTTTGTACTACCATGTCCAGGGGCTGTAATACCTTGACATCTTCGGTGTTAAAATATCGTAATTTTTAACTCGGTGTCTTTTTTACCCTGAAAGGAGTTATGATTAACGCATTTAACAAATGCCCTTTTCATTTTTTTTTTGTTTTTGCCCTTTATATACAAATTATTAATGAAACAAGATACAGTTTAGAAATCAAAATCAAACTCGTAACCTCCCAGTCTAAATTTAGGGATATATCCTTGCTTTAATTATCTAATCCGGCGGCCATATTGGATAGCGAAACAGATTAAACAGTGTTAAAGTTTTCTAAAAACAAATCCGTTTAACCCTGAAATAAGCTGTTGTTCTCAAAATGCAACTATTCTATTGATCGCATATTGATATTACAACGATAAAAAATAACTTTTAAACCTACCTTGTTTTGCAATATTCTGAATTTTATTTACTATCCATTTCCAATCCCGTTTTTCTTTTTTCATTTCGCCCGCGCTATTTCTGATTGGTTGATAGGATTCACGTGATACAAAACTAACGCTTTAAAACTCATTGGCTGTTTTGAAAACGCTTGATATGCCCTAGATACCGTTTGTGTGATAAAGCATTTAGCATTAATAATGCCACGGATTTATACTAAGGTCGGTGATAATGCGTAAGAAACCAGCATACTAAGACCTTTATTCGATCCAAAATAATGCAATATTAAATTGGAAATATCATGTATCCATAAACGATAACTTTGCATATATGTATAACATAACCATTGATACTTTTTCATAGGCAAAACTTTGATTCTAATGCTCAATCGGTTATTCATTTTTTTGATAATAATAATAATAATAATAGTAATAATAATTATAATAATGATGATGATGATGATGATGATGATGATGATGATGATGATAGTTGATAATAATAATAATATAATGATGATGATAATAATAATAATAATAATAATAATAATAATAATAATAATAAAAATAATAATAATAATAATAATAATAAAAGACGTTTTAGAAGCGCTAAGAAATATTTATAAAATACACACATTTTTGTGATAACAATAATAAGCGGGTTTAAACAAAAGACCCACATTAAATTTACACACAGGACAAAAGCCCCCACCCCCGTCCATCAAACAAAAGCTCCCTAAGGTTTATAGACCAGACTGATTACTTTCTATTTTTACACGCCCAGTGTTCGGGAACTTGGGGTTATACTTCAAATAAATCTAGACAAGTATGCGCCTTTCAATTTTATTTCCTTGATAAGCTTTGAAAAGCGGTTCTCTGAAAATATTAATTTACATTTGTACTGCACAATATATAATAAAGTAAACATAAAAAACATTCATATCATCAATGAATTATAAGTACGAATTACACAATTTAGAACTTTTGTACCTTTAAATTTAAATCTTAATGTAAATTATCTTCTAAAACAATTTCATTTATTTGTTAAAATACATTAAGTTCCAGATTTAAACTGACGAGAGATAGACGGAGATGGACTGGGGGGGGGCTTTTGTCCTACCTGTGTTTTTGAAGGGGGGGGGGCTTTGTCCTACGTGTTAATTAAAGGGGGGGGGGGCTTTTGTCCACCTTGTCATTTTTAAATGGGGGGGGGGGGGCTTTCGACCGGGGGGGGGACTTTTGTCCGTATCCCCATTAAAATAAATAAATTACTTACTTACTTACCTCTTACTTACACACATAAATGAAGTATAAAAGATCCTTTCACATTATCTGCGGATTTCATAATTAAAATAAAACTTTATTAGTATAAGGATATTTGGAGTATCGGTAAAAATTCGAAAGTCCAATTTAAAAATCAATATTTAATTTAGTATGTTCTTAACTTGAGTTTTTAAATCAAACTACGACAATTTTTATGTTTTTAAACAGAAATTTACTTTTACAAAAAATGTTTCCTAGATACATAATTTTATTTTAACAAATTAACAAATGTTAATTTACATAGCACGGTCATGTTCCCCTGTCCTGAACAATGTTCAAGTCACCGAATTATGCAGAAACACGGCTGATGGGAGACGAGGAAACTCGGGAAAAGATGATGATATTTTTCAAGAAATGCTATTTCCAATAATTTGACATCATCTATCAACATTACATGTACATACACCCCAGTGACATCCATCTGATTCTAGCTTGTTAACTTAGATATCATTGGACCTGGCGGCAGAGTACTTTAAAGTTTACTTTAAGATAAATCTTAATATTGTGTCTTGTTTAAATGACGAATTCCGCCAAATTAAAGGATAACAACAACACGACGCTGCAAAAACATTGGAAAGAATATAGTAGCTATGTCTGTTTCATTTTAATATGTCGGGTTAGAGTCTTTGTAATATCTGGAACAAAATCACATAGAAACTCGGTTATGAGATCACAATTTAATTCCCTTATTTCGTACATGAATTATATTAGAAAATACCGTTAAGACATTCAACCCCAATTGCGCTAACTTACCTAATCGGAGAAAACCGACACTCGATATACCCTGCTGCGTTTATGATCAATATCCGGATCAATATCCGGCTTAATCAGTATTGTCTTCGATTATGGCAATACAGCACGTGGCTATTACACAATATTATGTCATAAATGAGACCGCGCGAAAAGAATCAAAATTGGGGAATTCGGAACTTCATAAGATTTCTATTCAAAACTTGTGTACAGAAACGCAAATCTTTGTTTCCTGAAATAAATAAATAAATAAATAAATAAATAAATAAATAAATAAATAAATAAATAAATAAATAAATAAATAAATAAATAAATAAATAAGAAATATATGAATAAATGAATAATGAATGAATAATGAATGAATGAATGAATGAATGAATGAATGAATGTAGAATAAATGAATGAATGATTGGTTGATCAAATAAATAAACAAATAAATAAATAAATAAATAAATAATAAATAAGAAATATATGAATAAATGAGCAATGAATGAATGAATAAATAAATGAATGAATGATTGGTAGATTGATTCAATGAATGAATGATTGAATGAATGAATGAATGAATGAGATATCATTGGGGTTTTTTACATATGCAAGTATATGTATTATATTATGTATAGCCTATATTTTATATATCAATATTATATATTTATCAATAATATATCAACGTAAAATTTAATTGCTGTGTGGACAATCCCGATTTCATTTTCGTGATTTCACAATTATTTTAACTTTCACGATTTCAACTTCACAGATTCACGATTTTATTGTAATTAATTCATGTTTTGAACATCACAATTTCAACTTTAGCATTTTCTCATGTTTTGCTTATCATTATAAAATATTATAATGATAATGATAAGGAAATTACAAAATAACATGATTCACCATAGATGCAAAATGCAAAACAGTACTATCTAATCGGCAATCGCAATTGTAAAGTATTCGCTATTTATCTGCGGGTGTATGCTAAAAAGCAAACCTAGAATACCGCGTCTGCATGTTACAGGTGAATGTCTTACACGTTCTGTGCACTGACGATATTATTTGTACGCAATTGACGCGTTAATAACTCCAGGAAATTTTGCATTGTGTTAATTGTCAAATGTCTGACAAATATATGATCAGACTATTTCTTTACTCTTACAGAAAATATTCTATTCAGAAGTAAATTTTCATTCGCTATTTCTATATACAGATTCCGTATTTGCACGAATACGGAATTTCGTATTTTAGTAATATACGGACTTGTTATAAAATTCCGTATATTAGTAAAATACGGACTTCGTACATCAAAGTTCCCGTATATTACGAGTGTACGGAGTTCGTATACTAGTCATGTACGGACTGGTATAATATACGGTCCCGTACATCTCCGTATTTCAAGTTTCCCGTATTCTTACACGTATATTAATGATATACGGAATTCCGTACACTTCCGTATATCCATGTCATTTTCGCAGTGTAATCTAATATTCAATGATTTACAAATGGAATTAGTGAAGATGGAAAATAAACAAATGGTGATTGGATTGTACAGGAACACATAAGGTATCTGTTTCCACACGTCTTAAGTGATGAACTGGTGTAGCTCTCTAAATCGGGTTGTTTCATTTATTAGTTTCTGAACATTAATTTGCTCCACACATGAAATTTGAATATAACGGAAGACATAAAACAACTAAACGAAACTTATTTGATTTGTTGACCATAATACTTCTTTCTTTATTTTACTGTCTGCCTTTCGAACTCGCTATAATTATGGTCTTGAAATAAAAATATGTCTGTAATAAATGTGAGCTCTTTTTACAAAAATTGCAACTTGAATTAATGCACGTTTACAAATTAATAAATGCACTTTAAATAAGATTAGTATGAATATCCGTCGTACTACATGTTAATTTTTACAAACAGATATTCATTTTCATTATTTCTTTAACACATTCTGTCTATTAAACTTAATTAATTATTCCATATTTTCAGATCTTTTACAATACGTTGTCAGAGGTCAATCAAAATGGTGACTAGTGACTCTGTCCGTCTAATAACTGGAAGAAGCATTGACAACACAGAGGAATTAAAGCTTGAAATCTGATTCTGCCTGAGATAGTTGTCACAATGGAGAGTCGCTGTATATGCGTGTGTAAATCCATCAGCTAGAGTTTCTTAAGAGTGTACCAAAATCTGGAAACAAAGTTTCGGAAGCATTAATAACAACAAAATTATATGAAAATGCAGACTCGGTTTGATTGAGTCTGTACATGAGGGATAATGAATTAGTGAAACATCCTTCACGACCCTAGCAATGCCTTGAGCGGAACTTAATTCTCAACACTTAATAGTTATGGCATTAATGATCCCGAAGAACCAGAAAAATATTACAACACTGAAGTGAAGTACGGGGCAACATTTTTTAGCTGCGACACGGCACTTGACACTTGCTGTCAAATGTCACACTAGTTGAATGTACAAGGTCTCATCACATCCGCAATAGCTCAGTCGGTAAAGTGATTATTTAATAAAGGAGAGGTTTGTTTTACAATCCTACTTTTGCCAAGGTTTTTAGACATATGCTTTCTTCATATTTGAAGTATATTTTAAAGAAAAAGGCCATGTGCTTGCAAAAATTGTCTACACGGATATAAAACAATTAAAAACACCGAATTCTCTCGTTCTGTATATACAGCACTGATATAACATTTATTGATTTCAATCCGAATTGATTTTAGATATTAATTCTTAACCCATGTTATTTAAAAAGAGTATAGT